AAAGATGAGAGATAAGATTAAGTTACACACCTTTGCTTCCCGTTTCCTTCCTAGGCCATCACCCACCCTCCTGATGATAACTGTAGCCTTTTCCACCCTCATCTTTCCGCTGGGACCACATGACCTGTGTATCTTACTTAGCTCAGGCTACATAACAAAATACCACAGACAGTGGTTTAAACAACAGATGTTTATTTTTCACACTTCTGGAGGCTGGAAGCGAGATCAGGGCGCCAGCATGGTCAGGTTTGACAAGGATTTCCTTCCTGGCTTGCAGACGGTGGCTTCTCACCGTGTCCTCACGAGGTAGATAGAGCGGCGCGGTGGGGTTTCTTATAAGGGCACCAATCCCATCCTAAAGGCCTTACCCAAAGGCTGGGAGGCACATGATTCAGTCCAGAGCCCTGTGACTCAGCAAGGAGGCCTGGCAGGGGACTGCTGCCTTAGGCTCGGCCGAGGCTGGAGTGGCCTCTGCGGTTCTAGATCTGTCCCTCATGTCTGGAGCTCCCTAAATGCACAACCCATCCTTTCGTCTTCATCAGGAAAACTATCATTCGTGCCCCAAACTGCTTCTGCCTTGCCCCACCTCAACCCCTTATCCCCCAGGCCTAGCTGCCAGAGAGCCTGGAAATTCGGGGGTTTGGTGTCCTTTTTTTACCCAGCAGAAAGGCGAGGCAGAAGGGACTGGGCTTGCATATCAGCCAATTGATAGGATCTGCCAATCAGGGACCCTGTAAACTATATGGAATGCTGCCCTCTGATGTAGGTCACATTCGGCTGCTAGGNGTGTGCTCATTGGTCAGTTGTGCAGCACAAAATAATTTCAGGTGAGGCACCTGTTACTACTCTGCTCAACAATCTGCTAGAGAAGGTTCGAGACCTCCAAGCAGTGCTTTCTATTCTGGGACCTGCCGAGGGGGCCTGTTCAGAGTACTGTGTTCAGAGCTATTTGGATTCTGTTTTCTCTTTCAGTTGTAATTAATTCGATACACAGTTAGGGTCATTTTATCTGTCTGTGTTTAATTTTAGAGGGAGCCCCATCTTTGTTGGTTTAATTTTACTTTTCAATGTATAAAACATTTAATATGTAAAAATCAAAGCCGCATGAAGAGGAGTATTTAGGACTCACTCCGTCTCCACCCCTCCCTGTAGCCACCACTGTCGTTGTTTTTTTGGTTCCTAATTAATCTTTGAAAAGGCAACCAAGTTCTAAAGTGTCACTTGGGGAAGAAAGACTCCTTTGGGGCAGGTTAATGGAGAGGAGAAATTTAATTTTGTTAGAAAGAAGGCAATCTGAGAAGTGTCTATGTATTCCCAAATCTTTGTGAACTTTTTCTTTTGTTCTTTGTATTGCTTTAAAAAAAAAAAATCATGGTCATGATCCAGGCTTTAGTTCCATGATCTCTGTGTAGGCACTGCTTTAAGTGGTAACACTCCTTTCCCTTGTGCGTGTGTGTGTTTGTCCAGGGTACTGTGACAGTGTCTCTGAAGAGAGTCTCGATGGCCCGTTTCAGCCGGCTGCGTCTTCACGCCCTTGTTCAACAGACATGGCCGTGGTGCCCAGAAATGACAGCGTCTCATTCCAAGAGACCAGTGGAAACAGCATCTTAAGCAGCCCATCCTTTGTGGCTGACGACATCTGCACCGTGACAATCAGTGACCTGTACGCGGGCATGCTGCACTCGATGAGCCAGCTGCTGAGTGCAAAGCCATCCTGTATCATCTCCACCAAAACCTTCAGCGCTCAGAACTGGAGCTCGAGGCGGAGGCACAAGTGGAAGAGAGGGATGGACAGGACGTATTACAGGGCGGGCAAGCACGCTCGAAGGAGTCCCCACACGAGACTCGTGCCCGGTTCAGAGCCTGGGCGAGAGGTGGGAGTGTTAAGAGATTGCCAGAACTTACCAGACGCTTCTGGCCATAAGGCAGGGTTAAAACTGGGGAAAGCTTTCCTTCAAGTAAACAAACCCCAAATCCGTAAATTAGATCCGAGTTGGAAGGAGATTAAGGGAATATCCCAGAAGCTCTCTTCTTTGACTTACGTAGACTCCAGGACGATGCAAAATAGATTAATGACATTAAAATGGTTAATTTCTCCTGTAAAAATAGTTTGCAGACCAAGAAGACTGCAGGGTGAGGGAGGGAATCATTCCAGAGAGCTCGAAAGCAAGTTTGATAAGCTCTATCAGGAATACTGCCTAAGCCCCAGGAAGCAGCTCTGCCCGACTCCCCTTTCCAGCCCCTCCAGGCTCCGCGTGTACAAAGGCGGTTCAAGCCCGGGTGACTCCTGGGGCTTAGAAACCCACAGGCCCAGTAGACCTTTCAGCAAAGCAAAACCTAAGATTTTAACTGAGGCTTTTGAAAACCTGGGCCAGCGAGCTGTTGAAGCGGGAAGATTCCTGGCAAGGAGTCGTTCCTTCCCGTCACTTGCGAAGACCCACCCCGCGCAGAGCCCAGGCCGCTCTGAGCTGACAGCCGACTTTTTTCAAGGAAATAATCTTGGAGTATTTAGGAAGTCAGTGTCACTCAGCAAACCTGTTTCAGTACCCAGGGTTCAACCTCCAGGCGGTGCAGGAGATCGTTACAATGAAATTAAAGAAAAGTTTGACCAGCTTCATCAGAAGTATTGCCAAAAATCGCCTCAGCAGACGAAGGCACCTTCATACACTGGAGTATCTCCAGCTAAAGCAACTGTGGAACTTAAAAATCAAGAAGACTTCTTAGGAAAATTAAATTCAGACTCTTGCTTTCAGAGTCCCCAAAAGTTGTCACCATCACCCCAGTGGAGCGTAAAACGTTCACTGGGCTCAACCACCACTGTTCATCCAGGTGCAGGCTTTGCTCTCGCTGCCAGAGGCCGCCCTCAGCACCTTGCAAAGAGACGCCAGTTATCAGACCCTCAGGTGTGTGGAAGGTGGGCTGATTCCCAGCATCCCTCACACGCGGTGGGTAGTGCCAGCCTGAGGCCAGGGGAGGAGGCTGGCTCTCCACAGCCCGACTGGAAGAGGAAGGTGAGTTCGTTCATCGAATGGGGCTGTTTTATGCCAGGATTCTTCTGTACATGTTAATTTTCTAACCTTTCTCCCAAATTCTGTTCTCTTACATAGCACACATTCAGGGTAAGACGCATCAAGGTGGAGCCAAAAACGTTCTCACAGGAAAAGTTCTTACGGTTTTCCACTGGAATGCATTTAGGGGGGGCGCTTTCTAAAAAGCCGCACTTCACGTGCTCTATCCATCCTTGTCAAACTGTGTCATTTCCAACTTCTTCATCTTACACTCAGAAAATAGCTGTTATCAGGAGAAACAGGTGTGGAAATCATGACTTTTGTTTACTTCTGATTTCCTAGTTGGGACAGCAGGAGTTGGCCCTGAGAGAGGCACCAGTGCAGAACCTCACACGTGTGAGGGGCGGCTTTGCGAGGGGCCACACGCTCCCGCTCTGCTGATAACCTCTGTGTCCTTGGCACTGAAGTCCATCTGCACCCACCCACTGCCCTCTATGGTTTAGTTTGAGCAGGTCACTTAAGTTTTAATGCTGGCACCATTCTGTTTTCTCCAGAGACAAGCTGGCAGATGGTAGGGTGGGACAAGTCAATATAAGCCATTGAACGTGATTTTCCAGCATGCACGTCAGTGTGCCCATAAGCCGGATTCGACGACGTGGCTGTTCTGAGCTGACGTCACGTCTCCCCCGGCTGATGGGACTTGACGCGGAGCTTGGTTTGGCCTGCCGGGGGTCGGTGGTGTGGGCAGGTGAGGCAGTGTGTACAGCTGCCTCTTCCCTTCTTCCCGGACCAGACGGAATGCTCCTCAGATGGACCCTGTCTGCCCTAAATATCCCATTTTCGGTTTTCCCACCTCTGCCTGCTTGCCCTGTGATCCCTTCTCAGGGGATGGTGTGTTTCCTCTCAGAGCTGAGCCCCTCCGCCTGAGTTGTCACCGTCACCGCCCCCTGGACCCCCATCGGTCCTCCCTGCCTTCGCCCGCTAATGTTGCTTGGTGTCCAGACCCACATGCTTGTCCGCAGCTGCCCTCTTCCTCAGGCAGCTCCCCTCCCAACTCCTCCCTGTGTGTGCACCTTCCTCGCTGTCCCCGATTCGCTCCTGCCTCTTGCCTCTGGCGCCAGCTGCCCCGGCCCCCAGAGCATCGCGGTCAGCCCTGCACTCCGGCCTCCACCCCACCTGTGAGCTCGCCTCCTCCATGCCCTGTGTCCTCACTTTCTCACCAGCTCAGCCTGGGGCCACGGGGCACTGGCCTCGGCTTCACAGGGAATGACCCAAGGCCCAGCGAGGCCACAGGCCTGGAAGGGGAGGACCCAGAGGAGAACTGGGCCTTGGTGGCCCAGCGGGGCCCTTCTGGCGCCCCTGGAATTTGATACGTTCCATTGCTGGAGGCCTTATGCAGTTTCGTCTTAAATCACAATATAAACATTAATCATTTTCCTTCCTTTTTTCCCCCCTACTTAAATTACAAATTTCTCGAGGAAAGGGACCATGTCTTGTGACTACAGACAGAATTTTAATGGCTCACATCTCAGTGCTTTCTGCGCGCCAGACCACGTTGAACTTTTTTACACCTTTTTTTCTTAATCCCTCCACGGACCCTTGGATTAGATAGGTTCTGTCTCTTCGTTTTATAAATAAGGAAGTACAGCTGAAAACTGACAGCTGCTTGCCTCCACACAGGCAGTGTGGCTGCGCCAGGGTTCAAAAGCCCGTCGGTTTAACCACCAGGTGGCGCTACTGGCTTAGGGGGTTACCGTCAGTTATGGTTGGTTGGTTGTTTGGTTGTTTGGTTGTTTTGGGGGGTTTCTTTTTTTAACATTCCTTACGGTACTTATTAAGCATGGTGGCATTTTCTATAGTGGACACACGAATGTATGCTTGCAATGGAATACATTTAAAACAGTTAAGCTTTTGGTGGCTGGCATTGGGAATTCTAGTGGAGTTTTACTGAAATCATTTTCTTTCTTTTTTTTAGAGGAAAGAAGAACACATCTTTCAGGGTGGAAGAGAAAAGTGATTTTGTGTTAGAAAACTCGAAGCTAAAAATCTATAGCCAAGTTATTTTAGAGTATTGTCCCTCTTCCCCGTTACTCTGTTTGAGAGAGAGTGAGAGAGAAATTCTCAAGAATAAATTAGAACTTGCTTCAAAGCAAATTTCAATGCAGTTGGTGTCATTGACATGACTCAGTTCTTGTATAGAAATTAATTGGAATAAAGTTGCTCAATTAAAATGATTCATGCTGTCCTTTAATGGCTATTTTTCTCGTGTTTTCTTTGCTAAATTTAGACCTGCCAACAGAATCCTCTCTTATAGTTCTTATTTCCTGAGAGAAATTGTTTGCTGTGAAACCTAAGTGTCAGCCCTGAAGACAGTGATCCTTGAAGGAAAATGCAGCTGCTTGACCTTTTAAATTCAAACCCGTGGGACTTGGTTTGGCACCTTCATGTCAGGAGGTAGCAAATTGAAACAATTCAATCATAAAAAGTAATTCTTTTTATGTTTTTAGATGAAAGCATGCTGTATTCACACAGTCCTGTGATGGTCCCAAAACCCTTACAGCCGCTCAGCTGACTTTTACTGGAGCTGTTTATCAGAGGATATCACAGTGACTTGTTTAATAAAATATTTCAAAGGCTCAAACACAGTGACCAAACCCATGTTGAGTAGTTGTTAACATACTGCCTTGTATTTTATTTATTTTT